GACAGCGAGAACTCGCGGGGCTCCGGGCGTCTGGCTTGAGCGGGTGGGCGACCGGCGTGGCGCCCGGTGGATTCGGGGAACGAGCCGCGGGGGGAGTGGGGTTCCCACCGCAAGCCGCGAACTCCACTGGGCCTTGCGGGGCTTGGATGCCTGTCAGACCCAGGAAAGCACTGAGTCTGTGAATCCGGAGCTGGGACAGGGGGCCCAGGCAGGAACAGAAACGTGACAGTCATCGGCCGTATCGATTTCTATAGAGACCAGGTAAACGAGGAAGAACCAGCCAAGAAGTTGGCCGGGGCGACTTACACCGACTTCCCGCCGGTAAATGCCGCCTCCGCGTGGCCTCGGCCCTGGCCACTTCCCCCACGCGGGCAGCAGCTCCGGGCTCCTGCACGCAGCCCCAAGTCAATGTCCTCTGCCCCAGGCTCTGCTCTTATCAACTACTGCCCGAAGCCGGCGGTGCGTGTGGGGAGGGGTCTCGCCTTCTCTTCTTCCCCAAGTGTTTCCGTGAACGCGTAAATTCACTGCAAAGGTCCGATCTGTTGTGATTCATCTGATATTTCAGCCCTGAAGAAATCAGCATTTGCAACTATAGTCTCATCTTCGATGTGATCGCTGCTTTCTCAAAAAAGGATCGTTAACGGGGCCACAGAAACAAGCCCAGTACATGAATCCTAAGCTGCAGGCCATCTCGTCCTGTCCCATACTTGAGTGATATGAACCCGTAAAGTGTAGTCTGACTTTACTGGTCTGTCTCCAGATGCTCCAGAGTCCAGGCCTCCTCTGCCGCTGTCCCTTTGGACGATGTCACTGCCTGCGGTTTTGTTCCCTGAAGTTCTGGAGCTCTTGTTTCCTTCAGGAAGAGGTGACATCCTCTCCCACTGTCCCCTCCCCCACAACCCCTACCCCGAAGGAAACGTTAAGCTGCTCTGTGTGGCAGGAAGACCCGTCCCCAGCATCCTGAAGGGGGAATATTAGGGCACGAAGGCTGCTGACCTGAGGCAGGGGCGTGCTGGTCCTCGTCCCTTTCACGCGAACACCTCTCAGCTTTTCAAGATGTGCCCGTGTCCAGGAGATGAATGATGGCCCCGAACCTTTCACCCGGTGTCACCAAATGGGAAGATTTTATCAGCTCAATAGTTTAATTTTTAACTACACTTATTGTTTAATTAATGAGTCGAGCAGACTCATTAAATCTTCCTCATGCTTCACGCCCAGATGAGGTCACTTACGTCCCCCCTGATCTCCCATCGGAATCAGTGCCCCTTCCGATGGAGCCTGAGGCCCCACGCGCCTTGTCCACACGCCGCCACCCGGGGGGCCCCTCGGGGTCAGTGCACTCTCCACGCAGACAGGCTGTCCCTGCTCAGTGCCCTCTCCCCCCGTCTCCTCTTCAACAGGACTGGGCTTTCCGCAGAGCAGAGACTTCATGTAGTTTAGTTAACGTGAATGATTTTTGTGGTTTTCTGATTACAGCTATTTGCACAAAGGCCATTGACTTTTCTGTGAAAGCTGACAGCCTGCAAGTCTGCTGCTTTTTGTAGCAAAACACTTTAGAAGACTCCCGCTTGCTTGCGATCTGTTTCTTCACGGTCCATTCTCTCTTGAGCCCACTCACAGCAAGACAGCGTGTGGCAAAGCCCTCGCCAGCCTCCACGCTGGCAGCCAGGGGTCGCTCCCCAGGCCTTCCCAGCCAGTGCGTGGCAGCTGGCCTCCCTCGTCTTCCCGAGGGCCCCATTCCACCTGCTGGTCACCTACCAGTCGAGTCTGCTTGTTCTCGGGCACTATCGGCTGCTCGTTCTGGACCCTCTGGCCGAATCCTGATCTTTCCTCTAAGCCCTAATGCTGCTGGGCCCAGGACGCCGTCCTGAATCCCATCCCCATGGGACTCACCCTGGGTGAGCCCGTGCAGGCCCCTCCTTCTGCCCTCCCACCCGGCTCTGGACCTCCGCTCTCCAGTCGCCTTCATCTGTGGTCGAGGCTGGGTTTCCAGCAAGTTCTCCATATGCAAAGCCATAGCGACTTCTCAGCCATCCAGGGAGCTACACACGCGGTCTGGGGCTCCGTCCTCGGGGTTCCCCTTCAGTCTTTGGGTGGCAGCTGTCCCTTATCTCTGCTGTTCCTCTGCCGTTTAGAGTTATCATTGTTTGTTATTGGCCAGCTCTTCTCTGTCCAGTCCCTGAGACAATTCTTTACATTGGACTGCCCTGCACAGATATGAGTGTGGTTTCTCGCTCCGATCAGATGGACTGGTACAGGCATAGACTTGTCTCTCTGCGTATCCCTGAATAGTGAACCTTCTGGATCATAATTTACCCTTGCGTGCTGCTTATTTAATGTTCTCCCAGACTTGAGTTCTCATACTTAATGTTAAGAAATCAGTCACTCATTCTGAACAGTTTTGAGCATGTCGTCTTTGTTAGGTTTCATCGTACTATTATGTCGTCTGCATAAATTGAAATGAAATGTTTTTTCTGGGTCATTTAACTGTCGCTCAGTTTTCTCTCTATTTCTCAGAATTTCTCTGCCTCCTTTTGGGCGAATGAAACCCACGGCTGCTATGCACGCACACACGCACACATACAGGCACACACACAGACACACACGCACAGACACACACACAGACACGCAGACGCACACACCTTTTACAGTAGTGTATTTTGATTTGTTAGCACATGAGAGAGCGTGTGTGCTTCTTAATTTAAGGAACAATTAACTCATAAACCTCATTATTCTCAGCTATAAAATTGTGTCATTTCCTCCATTCTTATGTTAATCCTCTTAAAGATCTTTAGACTTTACGTTACTGTACACCTTTTTGTCTCGAATCTCTGCAGCGTTTGTATGTGTGTGACAATTAGTGGGCATATGGATTACGTTATTTTACCTCATGGCCTCATAGTTAAAAAGCAGCTTTTTTTTCTTTTACAGTAGTGTATTTTGATTTGTTTTTAATTCTTTCTTGAGCTGTTTCTCTAAACAAACCAACAGTTTGGAAAATTCCTTGACTCACATTCGTAGCTGTATTACAAAATATTGTCAATATTTTGTAATATTATACATGATGATGGAACTAACCGTCAGCAGTAAACATGTTTAGATGTTAGGTCGCAGAGTCCAGCCTTTAACTAAGTGTTTCAATTGCTTTGGTCATCATGTAGCTCACAGTCAAAGATTAAAAAAGTGTTTCAGTCATGTCCTGGAGGCCTGCCTGCAAAGCAAATTCCAGAAAAAAAATTTAAAAGGACACTTTGCTTGATATAATTTAAAAAAATGCATCTGATCAAGCACAAATGATACCTTACATAATAATAACGGTCACAAGATGTTCAGTTGCTGCCTTTTGTTTTAAAGGTAACGTCCCTGATGCACAATCAGACGTTTTACCAATCCTGGCTTTCCAGCCCGGTGAGCTTGCCCGACCACAGCAACAAGCTCCACACGAGATGACGTCAGGAACTAACTTAAAGAGACTAAAGAAAACCACTAAAGGTCACGCAGGTACTAACCAGTCAGCTTTACCCATGATGCCTAACCCCTAACTCTCAATCTTTGCCTTTAAAAACCCTGGATCAAAAACCATCCTGGCGTTTAGGTTTTAAGTGATAGCTCCCTGTCCTTCTGGTTCAGGGCCCTGCCAGTAAATGGCTCCAATTTCTCCACTGCAAAATTTGGTGTTCAGTGTTTGGCTCTGTTGCACGTTGGGTGGGCAGACTCTCTTTCTGTTGGATAATAATTGTGACATAAAATTTCCTAGTTTTGCTAAACACTTGTTTTTACATTGTATTGTTTGTTTTTCGGTAAGGCATATGTATATTTACACTGTGTGTTCACCTCCCACAGTTAGATTTCTTTCTGTCACCATGTATTTGACCCCCTTTACCCTGTCTACCTCCCCCTCTCCCCTCCCTCTGATAACCACTAGTCCATTGTCAATATCCATGAGTCTCTGTTTGTTTGTTCTGTTCATTTGTTGCTTTTAAGTTTATATCCCACATATAAGCGATATCATGTGATTTTCATCTTTTTCTGTCTGGCTTATTTCACTTAGCATGATTATCTCGAGGTCCATCCATGTTGTCGCGAATGGCAGTATTTCATCTCTTCTTACGGCTGAGTAATATTCCATTGTATGTATGTCCCACAGCTTCTTCATCTCATCATCTACCGTAGGACACTTCTGTTGCTTCCACATCCTGGCCACCGTGAATGATGCCGCTATGAACATCGGTGTGCAAATATCTTTTCGGATATGGGTTTGCAAGTCTTTGGTGTAAATATCCAGCAGAGGGATTGCTGGATCGTATGGTAGATGAATTCTTAGTTTGTTGAGGAAACTGCATACTGTTTTCCATGCTATACACATATGCCCTAACAGCAAACTTTGACTTTAACAACTTTGGGTTGGGGCGTAGTACAAATATTACATTCACTTTGAAAACAAAAACTAAAATAAAACCAGCTATAAAATTTGGGAGGAGGAGAAATGGAGGACATTTCAAAATAGACTGGGTATTAGGGAATTATTGTTAATTTTCCGAGGTATGATAATGGCATCATTATTATACAAGAGATTATCCTTTTTTAGTAGGTGAAATCTAAATTTTCATGTGTGCAATATGGGTGTTCATCATACTATTCTTTCAAGTTTATGTTTTAAAATTTTAACAATGATTGAAAATAAAATGACAAGAATGATAGAATTGAAAAGAGGATGTTATTGATAATGACATTTTCAGGGTAATATAATTTGAGTCTATTCCTATTTGAAATTTCCATGAAAATTTTGTTTTGTATATGTCCAATTTTGTTTCCTGAAAAAAATAGACTAATTAATATTAAGTGAATATTAAAGTGCCTGGTATTTAAAAATACCTCTTTGTTGAATAATGGACTTCAGGGCATTGTAATAGAAGCCAATGAAGTAAATTAATGATTTATTTACATATAACTGAAATATTTATTGTACTGGACTTAGTAACAGGCTTTCTTCATTAGATCTGGTCACATTTATTCAAAAACACGAAACTTTTTCATAATCCAGAACCATTCCATTAGCTATAGATTTACCTTTCCTTAAATGTCTAAGAGGCTATACACTTGGAAGCCTGATTTTTGAGATGGTAGCTCATCAATGACCTAATTTTGTTTTCAATTTATGTTAGTCTTCACTGCTTTCTAGGCTCAAATTAAGGAATTTATATTTTTTGAGGAACTCATTTCATTAGCAGTGTTTTGTTAATATAGGTTTTTTAAAAACTATGTCCTTGTAATTTTAAAACATCAATTCTAAAGTTTGTGTATAATTTTCTGGACACAAGTATTAATTTTTAACTTTGCAAATGGTTAAAGAACTTTTGTAATTTATTATAAATGTGCGGATTTTTGTTTTGCATTGTGGTTGGAGACTTTTTGATGGTTTCACTTTTGTACACGAATTTCATATTTGGCCATTTTCCTGTTTTTCAGCTGTTTCTGTGGATGTTGCCTCATGCCGAAGGATCGACAAAATATTTTGTTTCATTTTCAGTGGTTAAACCTTCAAGAATTCAGTGCCTAATATTCCCGAATGATAGAAAGCTGTCTTATCACATGAGTAATATTGATATTTTGCCATCAAAATGGTATTAGTCTTTGAGAGGTAACCTACATACTAACAAACCTACTATTCAATGCTACTGTTTTTCACAAACTCAGGTGTCAAATACTTACATGTGCCTTTTCTTTGACTTACTAGCATGTCGCGGTTACAGATATCACCATGAGGAACCGTCCTAGAATACTTGGAACAAAAGACCCTGCTGGAAAGTGGCTGAGAAACGTGCAGCCTCACAGCATGTCCTGCCTCGCTAGATGCTTAGCTGACACCCTCTGGACGTGCTCTCCAAGTGTGAGTTGAAAGCCCCAAGTTTACAAATCTTTTTTAGCCTCTAATCTCTAGTCTAACTCTATCCTTATTAAAATACAAACCCCAAGATACGACTCTATTTTCATTTTTTATTGGAATTGTGTTGTCACAGTAGTTCTAGTGTAAGTTTGCATTTTTTCGCAAGAATGGCACTCTTGTCCAATTTCACGTTAAAGTGAATTGCTTCTGAAGCCCCAGTCACCGGAACTATATTCGTCCTGTTGGTTTAAGAATTGTGACCAATTAAACTCGCACGTTTGTTGTTACCTCATCAGTAGTTTCGCTTAAGCTCTTTCTCAGAAATTGTGAGTGGCTCTGAAAAGAGCCTTTGGGTCCTATTTTCCTTTCCAATCGTTAAGGTCGCTCACGGGGCTTCGACACCTGAAGATCACTTGCTCTGGACTTTGTGGTGATGACTCTCGGTCTTCTTGGGCAGCAGCACGGCCTGGATGTTGGGCAGCACGCCGCCCTGCGCGATAGTCACGCGGCCCAGCAGCTTGTTGAGCTCCTCATCATTGCGAATGGCCAGCTGCAGGTGGCGCGGGATGATGCGCGTCTTCTTGTTGTCGCGCGCCGCGTTGCCCGCCAGCTCCAGGATCTCGGCCGTCAGGTACTCCAGCACGGCCGCCAGGTACACGGGCGCGCCGGCGCCCACCCGCTCGGCGTAGTTGCCCTTGCGGAGCAGGCGGTGCACGCGGCCCACGGGGAACTGCAGCCCGGCTCTGGATGAACGGGACTTGGCCTTGGCGCGCGCCTTGCCGCCCTGCTTCCCGCGTCCGGACATGGTAGACAACAAGATGGTAGGAGTGGAAAAAGTTTCCGCTGGAGCGACTGAGAGGGTCCTATTTATAGTCTGCCGGCGGGCCGTGCCCGGCTATCTGATTGGCTGACGGAGCCCCAGCCAATCAGAAAGCATCACTAGAATCACCTCATTTGCATACACGTGACGGCTCGCTGTCCAATCAGATGTCGCTGCCGCGCGCGTCATCTCAGCCCGTGTCTATAAATACGACCCTTGTTGCCTTCAGGCGCTCTCCCCTTGTTCGGTGCTGGTTGGAGCCGTTGAAGCCGAGCACCCACCATGCCGGAGCTGACCTCTAAGGGCGCTACTGTCTCCAAGAAGGGCTTCAAGAAAGCCGTCACTAAGACGCAGAAGAAGGAGGGGAAGAAACGCAAGCGGTGCCGCAAAGAGAGCTATTCGATTTACATCTACAAGGTGTTGAAGCAGGTGCACCCCGACACCGGCATCTCGTCCAAGGCCATGGGCATCATGAACTCGTTCGTCAACGACATCTTCGAGCGCATCGCGGGCGAGGCGTCGCGCCTGGCGCATTACAACAAGCGCTCGACCATCACGTCGCGGGAGATCCAGACGGCCGTGCGCCTGCTGCTGCCCGGGGAGCTGGCCAAGCACGCCGTGTCCGAGGGCACCAAGGCCGTCACCAAGTACACCAGCTCCAAGTAAAAAGGCTCAGCTACCCAACGAGCTTCATCACCCAAAGGCTCTTTTAAGAGCCACTCGCCTTTCTTAAAGGCCTGTAGGCTCGCTGTCTGGCTGTTCGGCTGGTGGGAGTTGGGGGAAATAGGCCTAAGCTCTGGAAAAGCAAGCTGCTCCTTTTTTGCTAAAAAGTAAGTTGGTCCATCTGCTGAGCGCAGACTGTTAATTTCAAGCAGGGCAAATGTCTACCCTAAAACGTCAACCTGTTTTTGCTACTACCAATCTTGCTTCCTTTATTGAAAAAGAAAACACATCTTGCAAAGGTGAAAGTGTTAGATGTTCTTACTCTTTCAACGACTTCGATAGTTTAATTGTAGTTTTCCACTTCCCCCAACGCTATTCCTGACCCTTTGACTAGGTGTGGGCATGTAACTTGCTTTACATGATGAAATGTGACTAGAAGTGATCTCTTCCAGGAAAATTACTGGGACTGTTAACCTATAATAGCCCAGTTTAGAGACCTCAATAAATGTACAAGATGATGTCACCATGTAGACTAAGGAATGGAGCTTTGGGCCTTAAATCTCAGCAGCTTTAGGACAACCCTAAGAATTTTCTCAGCACGGCCAATGTAAACAGCCATAATGCTCCCACCAAGTATCTACTATCTTAATGTTGTTCCCACAGCTCCAAGACCCCTTCCTCTGTGGAAAGTATAGACAGTAAAAGATCCCAGAGAAAGACAAAAAACCATGCGTGTTCAATGAACTGAGCCCACGAAACCACCTGAGGACACAGGATCCGAGGAGCTTGAGGACAACTGTTCCTCTTCACATCCGTGGTTTCACTGGAAGTGCTGCATAAGCAATCTACATAACTAATGGCTATAATTTTAAGTCTTCCTTGTTTTCAGGTAAGGCAACCCTTGGTTGACCTCACAGATTTCAAGGACCTTGACAGTTTAAAATCCCTTATTATTTTTATGCCTACAGCACCCAGTCTTGCAAGGTAGTTTCCTATTCAAGTACTAACTAGGCCCAACCCTGTAAGACAGTCATATGACTAAGATAGTCTTTTGAGCCGAGTTTCCTATTCTACTTGAAACTGAATGGTGTGAGCCAAAGAAGTCCAGCACAACGTTCTTTGTTGCAAAACGAGCAGCTTGCTCTCCTAGTGCTAAAGCCTACTGTCTCCACCCCCCACCAGCCAAACAGCCAGTGAGCCTACAGGCCTTTAAGAGAGGCGAGTGGCTCTTAAAAGAGCCTTTGGGTGATGAAGCTCGTTGGGTAGCTGAGCCTTTTTACTTGGAGCTGGTGTACTTGGTGACGGCCTTGGTGCCCTCGGACACGGCGTGCTTGGCCAGCTCCCCGGGCAGCAGCAGGCGCACGGCCGTCTGGATCTCCCGCGACGTGATGGTCGAGCGCTTGTTATAGTGCGCCAGGCGCGACGCCTCGCCCGCGATGCGCTCGAAAATGTCAGTGACGAACGAGTTCATGATGCTCATGGCTTTGGACGAGATGCCGGTGTCGGGGTGCACCTGCTTCAACACCTTGTAGATGTAAATCGAATAGCTCTCTTTGCGGCACCGCTTGCGTTTCTTCCCCTCCTTCTTCTGCGTCTTAGTGACGGCTTTCTTGAAGCCCTTCTTGGAGACAGTAGCGCCCTTAGAGGTCAGCTCCGGCATGGTGGGTGCTCGGCTTCAACGGCTCCAACCAGCACCGAACAAGGGGAGAGCGCCTGAAGGCAACAAGGGTCGTATTTATAGACACGGGCTGAGATGACGCGCGCGGCAGCGACATCTGATTGGACAGCGAGCCGTCACGTGTATGCAAATGAGGTGATTCTAGTGATGCTTTCTGATTGGCTGGGGCTCCGTCAGCCAATCAGATAGCCGGGCACGGCCCGCCGGCAGGCTATAAATGAAACCCGCAGCGCGCTTTTCCGTTGTAGTTGTGCTGTTCTTGGAGAGCTTTCCGATCATGTGTCGGTTTGGGAAGAAGAGCGGCGAGACGTACGCTAGGGCCCAGGTCCCGGCCCATTCTCTTAGAGCTGGAGTGCAGTTCCCCGTGGGCCGCGTGCACCGCCTGCTCCGCAAGGGCAGCTATGCAGAGCGCGTTGGGGCCAGCGCCTCCGTGTACCTGGCGGCCGTGCTGGAGTATCTGACGGGCGAGATCCTGCAGCTGGCGGGCAACGCGGCGCGCGAGGACAGGAAGACGCGCATCGTCCCGCACCACCTGCAGCTGGCCATCCGCAACAGCGAGGAGCTCAACAAGCTGCTGGGCCGCGTGACTATCGCGCAGGGCGGCGTGCTGCCCAACATCCAGGCCGTGCTGCTGCCCAAGAAGACCGAGAGTCATCACAAAGTCCAGAGCAAGTGTTCTCCAGGTATTGAAGCCCCGTGAGCGACCTTAACGATTGGAAAAGAAAACGGAACCCAAAGGCTCTTTTCAGAGCCACTCACATTGTCAGGAAAGGCTGTGCACGGACCAGAAGGCAGTGATTGTGCAGCTGGGTGGTGGGAACGCATACCACAGCTCATCTGAGTACTCAGGAAATCTTTGGTTCTTACTGGCTTTTTTTCAAACTTTAAGTCTAAAAAGTTACTGAAAAAAGCAAGTCAAGGATGTTTGCAGTGCCTGTTAAGATCTGCTTTAGTGCTTAACTGTAGAAAACTCCAACGAGAAGCTGTGACACTACAGTCCTTTTGGAGGAGCAAATTGAAGTTACTCTAGCACTAGAAAGGCAAGTTCATGGATTAACGGGAACGAAGGAATCCTAGTGCGAGGCTTGTATTTTAATGAACTAAGTAGTGATTGGATTAGAACAAATGAGACTAACTTCTAGTGTCTAGGCTGTTTACAGTCTCACGAGGCTGCAGTTTTCTCAAAGTACTTTTTAGATAGGAATTTGCTTTCAAACATGCTAGGATGGTTCAGTATTAAATCATATCAGGAAACCAAGAGTTAGTTAACCATAATTAACATTTGGTCAAGGATCTTATGTCAACATTTGTTACTCGTGGCTTTACATACACACTTAGTAAAAGTAGTATTTTTTTTTCTTAAACTGTAAAATTAGATGGATCTCAAAAAGAAGCTTGTCTCCTCTCACGACTGACAACGGTGTCAGTCACCGCCTGTGGCAAGTTCTTCCATCGTAACTTGAAATTGGGGATTTGGCGTCAAGTTTTTCAGAAGTTTTAACTACAAAATAGATGAAATCATATCAGTTTATCTGTTTGTACTGAAAATACTAAGAAATTGCAAAGCAAATGACCATTTAGTTAGGCTGTCAAATACAAAATTATTGTATAATATTTAATAGTTCACCTTACCGCAAAGAAAAGTAATTTTGGTTATTTAAAACATTACTAGCCACTTAAGTATGAGAAGTCAAAGAGGAGTAACTATAATGTATTACGTACAACCAGGTTATGGAAGAGTCAATCATTTCTTCAATTAATGTACATAACTATCGGTTAAAACATGCAATTGGGGAGGGCACCAGAGGAAGGAAAATTTTTGAAGACAGAAAGGGAAATCGTACAGATATCAGACAAAATTAGATAATATTTAGAACGTGCCAATTGAAAACTTTAAAATGTGAAATTTTAAAATGAAAGAATACTATATAATTGATGGATTAAATAGGGATACGTGAAAAATGTTCTAAACAGAATTCCAAAAAATGTATATAGATGCTCCCCCATCAGGCAAGTGTAGCTTAATTCCCCAGACTTGCCAAAGCCCAGAGTCTAGAAAGGCACGTGAGGAAAGGAGCGACTTTACAGTAGAGAAGCCTGGCAGATCCTACCTCGGGCAGGTGATTACGTTAACCTCATCAGCTTTCAAAACAAAATGACAAAGGTTATTGAGCAGTAAATGAGTTTATTCGAGAATAGCAGAGAAACTGCAATTTGGGACAAGCAAACTGGGGAACCACAGGCAAGTCTGGAGAACCAAGAAGAGTTCTCCTGTAGAGGAAAGGCAGGAGCAGGGAAGGGTCGTTTAAAACGAAGTTTCATTGGAGGGAAACGAGAGTCCTAAGTGGTGGCACCTTGCTATGGCCAGGTAGAGAGGACAGTCTCCTGCTGGCCCGTGCGAGTTGCCTCCAGCATAGTGAGTGACAGCTGCGCACGGCTTGCCTGCTCCGTTTGGATAGAGCTTCCTTTATTCATTTTGACGGCATCCTCGGTGAGAAGCCACGTTGATGGCATGTGCCCTTGATGTGATGTGCTGAGAAGTGTTTTACTTCTCGGGTATTCCTCCCAACACCCCACAGTCCCGGTCTCACACTGAGAAAGACATCAGACAAATGCAAGTTGAAGAACGTTCTACAAAGTATCTGACTATGAGTCCTCACAGCTATCAGGTTTTCAAAAACAAGAAAATTCTGAGAAACTGTCGCAGCCTAGAGGCGGCTAAGGCAGCATTACGACTAAACGTCATTTATTTAAAATTGGATCCTGCAACAGAAACAGGACATTAGGTAAAATATAAGGAAATCCAAACAAAGTTTAGTGCTCAATTCATGGCGACATGGCAATGTTAGTTCCTTAGCTGTGACAAATGCACAGATGTTAATTGGGGAACCCAGTTGATGGGTGTATGGGAGTAACTTCACAAATTTTCTATAAATCTGAAATTATTCCAAGGTAGAAACTTTATTTTAAAAATCATCCAAAGGACTCGGCAGGTGGGTAATGAGTCATTTCCAGGGTGCCTTTGGCCCTGACCCTTTTCCCCGTAATTAGGTCTGCTCCGTGGTGTCTTCGTTAGGACAACTGATGAGCCTTCCTGAGGAGCAGGTGACATAGGCCTCGAGTGCTCAATCGGACTGGTGCCCAGTTCAGTTTGGATCACGACGATGTTCTGAAAGTCACAGGAGTGTCCTCATCGCGAGATTCACTCCAGATTCAGGAACCTGTTTCCGGCATGCGCCTTGGGACGCTTCAGAAACTAGACAATGTAATCTTCGCTCTTTCTCCAACTTGCGTTTTCCATGCTCTGAGGTGAAAACTTCACATCTTGTGGAGGCTCGTCATGTGATCACGGGACATGGTGCCAATGGCCCCAGCCCGGGCGTTCCCCATAGACTGCGGCAGAGTTGGGGTGCTCCTTGTGGCGGGTTGTGGCAACCCTGTCCAACGCGTACATAATGCAAGCCACACACTTAATTTGAAATTTTCTAGTAGCCACACTAGAAAAAAAGTTTCAAAAAAGCAACAGTGGGAATTAACTTTAACACTATATTTTATTCAACTCAATAGAGCCAAAATATTACTGTGTAACATGTAATCAACAGAAAAATATTAATGAGATACTTTATATTCCCTTTTTTAGGGTGTGATTTATATTTACAGTGCATCTCAATTTGGACCGACTGCTCAGAAGCCACACGCGGCTGTCGCGCTGGACGCAACATCTGGGGTAAGAGAAAGTCACTGGGGCCACAGCCGCCCCAGCTCTCGTCACGAGTAAAGCTTTGGGAATTACCATTCTGGAGTCACAGATTCCTCACCTGTGAAACTCATCCATTCTTTACCTCAGAATGTTCCAACTCAACGTATTTTTCGATAATGTCTTTATTTCCTGAACGTTCTTTTCCTTATTTATTGCTATCTTAATTGGTGGCTTTATCTTAATTAGTGGCTTAAGCCAAAAGAAAAAACGTGTCCCTCTCCTGCCTCATAGTCGGCCGGCCAGCCCGTCCTCCCAAGCAGTTCCCCGAGCGAGCGGCTCCTCCCCGGTCCTGGTCCCGCGTCAGCTGTGCCTCACGTCCCGGTGACCCCTCACCAAGACCCTTCTACGTCGTCAGCTGTGTCTTTCTCCCGACTGTCACCCCACCACCTAGAGTGGAGGTCACAAAGCTGTGGTGCTCCACAGAAATGCTTTGCTTTTCAACATTTTTAAAAAAATTGGTTTCAAACGTAACAATTAGTAGATTTGCCATAAATTTCCAAAATCCTGGTTTTCTTGAACAATCAGGTGATCTAGCAAAAACACATCCTTTTAACATCTGGCAATGACCAACCGAGACAGAGTGGCACTCGCTCCCTTCCATTGGGGGGGGGGCGCGTCGCTGGCTCCGGCCAGGGCCCCACCGGGCCCACCCGCCGTCCAAAGAGATCGCCCCGAGTCGTAGCTCAGCGTGAACAGCCTTT